TAATGTTTAAAATCACTTGAAAAGGCAAGATCCCATGTAAAATTAGCGCAACAAACTGTATTGTCATTACTGGAAATAACCGTATTTTTATGAGGAAGTTATTTTCTGTTATTTTACGGTAGTATTTTGGCGCCCCAGCTGCCAGAATATTACAGTTTTTTTTAAGATTTTTTTTTAACAGTGTACTAGATGCAATGGGCTGGCTTTGTATCTTCTTAAACATTCAAGCAGAACCTTGATGCGTACTGAAACTTTCCTGTACTCACACAATCCATACCTATGATATCAGCACCAAGTCTGCAGGCTATTGTTTGTGGACAGATGGTGAAGAACACGGTCTCATTTGTGTGTAATAAGTCGTTACTAATTGTCTGCAGATTGGATCAATGTTCTTTTCTGCTACAGCTCAGCTCCTTGTCTGTGTATTACCATAGACGGCACTGCCACCATTTATCACTGCTGGTAGAGGAAAAGTCCTTTTAAACTCATTATTAATGCAATTTTGCTAGAACTACTTTAATTATAGCAAGAAATCATTTCTTTTGTGGCAAAAATTGAACCAATAGGAATTCATTTATGAGGTTTTTACGGCATAAATGCATACGTTCCCACATACATGAATAAACACAGCTGCCACACACAAGCTTTGCTCTAATTTTTCCTGTCAGCTGGCAATGCCATTCACTGATATCTTAAAGAGCTTATGGATTACTTTTGAAGATCTGTCACTCTAATTTTTCACGATTGCAAAGAAGAGCCTTGTGCGACATTAATTCCAACAGCGCCGCAAGCCAAAGCTATAGTCATACTCTGTGTGGTTTGACTGAATGGGGGTATAGTCATAAGGAGTTTGCCTTTTGGGTTCTGAAGCCTTTTTCACTGATAACCTGGTCCTCAGCTGCCAGTTACTTTGTGTGCATCGCTGCCTTTTCTACTGCACCAGTCAAGACTTGAGACATTTGTGTAACTGATTGAATGCCCAAAAACTGACAGAGATAATCAAATGTTAGACTTATCTTTGGCAGTTTGTGGTAACGTTTGAGTAAGTGTGACTCAAGCAGTTTATTAAAGTGGGAAAGAGACCATTGGTTTATTTCATTGCAACTTAAATGTAAACATTTAAAAGATAACACGTAGAGGTTTGTCGAAGAAGCCATATAGATATTTAAAACTCCAACATATTAGACTGTCTTTTTTTCTTTCAAACATATGAAACATAAACAGATTTCCCTAACATTTGTCTTGCATATTTATTTTTCCATTAAAACTCGGCCAATCTCTGCTGGGATCAGCTAGTCGTTGTTTTTTGAGGCGTTGCAAACTGTGTTACCAACAGGGAAACTGCAGAAAGTCTCTACCTTCAAACTATGGAACATCAGCACTAACAATAGTTTAAGGATATGTCTTGTATCTTCTTTACTTTTTTAATTTTTGCTTTATCAGCAATTATAGATGCTGATACTGAAAGGCATTTACTAACAACAACATATAGCCAATATGGGCCAACCGGTAAATTGTTGGTGCTCTAATATAAAGTTGTATACTTGAAGTCTTGCTTCAGCCAGGTTGATCTCTACCTTAGCATATAAATTTGGTTTTAATACGAGCAGACGATACTTTTTATGGGGAATTAGACAATTATTTTTATTAGCTCTATTATATTTGAAGTGCATACCATAAGGGTATCTCGCTGATACTGATACCTTCAAACACTGCACAACAACATTGCGAAGGACATTTTCTTCACCCCCAATTCCAGTTAATGGTTTTATTTATATTTTACAATATAAAATGTAAAAAAGTAGATTTTACAATTAATTACATTTTGTTTTTTTATTAAATGTGGATTTATAAGATTTGCAAATCATTGCATTCTGTTTAAATTTTACAAAACATCCTCACTTAATTGGAATTGGGTTAAGCTAATATTAGCTTTGAGGCACTATGACTTCTCTCTATTGCTAAAGCCTGCCTAGTTGTCCCAGTCTGCATCTGAGGTCAAGAGAATAAAGTTCAATAGGATCTGTGCCGAGCTGAAATAAAAACATAATCATCACTACTATTCATCACTGATTATTTATCCCTAATTTTCCATTAAAAAGAATTCTATGCATTTCTCCTTTTTTATTTTTTTTTTTATTTGAAGTATGAAACATTATTGACTTTCAAGTCACTCGCTGTGAAGCTAAATGCATGTGTGTTACATGTGCACTGGTATTTACAGAATGGCGGCTAACCACCATTTCCACATTACCAATTTACCTTTAGCCATGGTGGATGAGTTGATAGACAGATAACAACTCAGAAGGTGTCTGTCCTTCACCTCTTTCCTTCATTTCCGCAATTTTTTCTTTACCCGACATTTTCAAACCCAACCAAGCCTTCAAATTGCCCATATCCTAAGTGTGTTTTCACTTTGTCATACACTACTAGTACTTAGAGATTTCCCCATTTCCATCAGCACGTCATTAACCTTTAAGCAATGTATGTTTTCAAATCACGTACAGTGTTGCTTTTTCCTCCCCACTGCTGAATTAAGAAATGAGCCTGTCTCTAATGGTTTTTCTCATTCGGCGAATCACTTTTATGTATTTTCAAAGCCATTTCCATCATTGCCCCTGCCCGCTGTATCAACAGCAGCCCCTCTGCAACAGCAGGAGTTTATCACCATGTTTCACAGAAAATTGAACACGCGGCCACACTATATCTCGTGTGCATGCAACGAGTCAGGGTCAGAGAAACATCCAGATATTCGCACGCATATGCTTCCAGATGTGCACATGTATAAAGACAGTAACGCACCCACCGATGCAAGTGTTCCCACACTTTTAGACCAAGTGTGCTCTGTGTTGTGCACAGCGTCTCTATGCTCATACATCATTAAGTGAGCCTGGGTGTTATTATGGAGAAGATGCAGTGTATTAGATGCCCTGACAGATTGTGTCAGGGCCTGCAATCCTATCAGGATTGGATAATAAAAAGACACTTAATCTAGGCAGTTCCCTATAGTCCTTTGCACACAGAATAAAAAATCCTGATGATCATTCTGTGCTCTAACTGTCCTTGTCAAAAATTTCTCCTCCCTCTGTCCCATACTAAAATATAAGTTCAATAATTACAAGTTAATCTCAATCTCTACCGTTCATCTGCCAAAACATTTCCCATGAAAAGGCACAGAGTTATAGCCCACCAACGTAAAATGCGTTTATTACCTTCTCTGCAACTCACTAATGGGCCATAGAAATAGGTTCCTGCATCAGTATGGATGACTGGAGTATGATCGGCTAATTTATGAGGACCTTGTCTCATCAGTAAGACCTGAGATGTGGGACAGTCAACTTAGCATGCTGTCTTTCTGGTGGGCCCCTGTTTACTATCATTCATGATAAATAGGGGCATGACAGACACAACAACAGCCAATCCGTCACCTTGTTGAAAGTCAGAGTCTGAGACAGCTCTACGTACTGTCTGCCTATGCTCTTCTTCTGTCCCTGCCAGAGAGGAGCCAAAAAATGAGCTCTGTAAGGGTAATGACAGAGGCATAATAGGGGCACATTGCCTGTTATAGTTTGTGAAGACACTTTTAGAATGCTCTCTATCTATAGAAAGATACCTAATAAATTCAGTTAACTTCTCTCTCGTCTTGCTTTCTTTCCTAACAGTGGAGAGTAATCCATGCCAGACCAATCCTTGCCTCCATGGTGGAAGCTGCCTGCAGGAAGGGGATGGTTACAGTTGCTACTGTCCTCAGGGGTTCTCTGGAGAGAGCTGTGAGATCGGTGAGTCACTGCCAGGTCAGGTATGGGTGAGGGAACCTCAGAGGTCGGCAGCCGCAAACTGCTATGTCCCTGAAGCATAGGGGGAAATCATGACAGGCATATTCTGACTTAACATTTAACATATGCAGTCTTCTGTGAGGTGAATTCATGAGGAAATGGCAGATTGCCTCTGTGGGCCTTGTTTCCATATTATGTGTTTGAATAACTGATTACAATCTCAGCGGCTTCACTGTCAGGTCTGGGAGGCCTGGGTCAAGCTCCCTGACTGAAAATGAACATGGAATCTCCAAATGCTGCAAGTCGGCCGTTTGTGCCAGAGGCTGTTCAAGATGAAGTATAGAGTATGTGCCTGAACTGTGTGCGAGTGTGTGTGTGTGTTTTCACCTTCTGCTCTGAGAGCAGTGGGCAGCTCATGTTTCCACTCAGCTATGTGATGTGAGAATGTGTCTGTCAGAAAATGGCAGTGCAGTGATTTAGGTGAATGAGGCTGTGTGTGTGACACAAGGACATATAGGCCACAGAGGAGCTCTGAGCTCACTGAGCAGTGGAGCAGCTGATTAAAGTATTGTCGAAGCAGTGCACGCCGCAGTGGATGAGGGAAAATACAGGAAAGAAAAGGAAGATGTGGCAGTGGTAGAAAATATCAAAGTGACTTTACTACTTTGAATGGCACTTTAAAAACTGAGAAACACTCGGTGGAAGACTTTGACTGAGCTTAAACACGTCACCTTTGGTGCAAAGTTGTTGACAGCATTCAGTCTGACATTGATTCTGGGTCCTGGCCAAATTTCTGTGGGAAGACTACAGTAAATGTTAGCTTGTGCACAAGAGTTACACTATGTTGCAGCATGTGCATATCAAGCCATGTCCTGCTTTTGTGTTGTCCTTGCTGTAACAGCTCCAACAGATGAATTACAAACATCTCCAGTTGTGGTTCCGTCGTCCACGGCCACGCTGTGGTTTTAATGATCAATACTTATGGAAAGGAGTCACAGATCAGTGGTGAATATATTGACCTGGCTCTGATTATTCAATGCCTTTTAATGCTTTGACTCAAAAGCACCTATTATACAACATTTAGGCATGCCTCTGCATGAATGTCATTGAAGATCAATCAACACTCTGTTGGATCAATAAAAATTGATGCCAAATGAATGTATAACATCCACAAATGCACTTTGTAATGATTTTTAGCCATTGGATTTGGTTAAGGCTGCATAAAGGTTGATGGTTTATAGAAGCAGCTAGAATAAATTGTGTTATTTTAGCTAAAATGTTTGGGCAGAAAAGCACTAAAAAGTCACAAAATATTGGTTATTTACTTATTACTTCTTCATTTCTGTGTCTCTCTTTGGCTTTCTTTTCTTTGAAGTTGTTATTTCCCAATGTAACTAAATTGATGTGATGGCAATTAGAACAGCTGCATATCTGATGTGTTTTATTATTACTTACCGCTAAAGGCAAAAAAAGGTTAGCAACCTATAACAGAACATGCTTGACTACAATTTAAAAATGTGCTATTTTGAAGAGGGAGTAGAAAGTCAGCTTTAATAACTGTGTTTCATTTCACATGTGTAGCCTCAGTGTCCTTAATCAGTCACTGATGGACACCTTATTGAAGAGCTTCCATCTTTTTTCTTCCGGTTCAAATTGATTTTAGACAGCCAATACAATCATATTATAGCCATAAAATCCAATAAACCAGTATTCCATCCATCGGCCCTGCTCCATACAAGGTGATTATTTAGGCAAAATGATGCAATGTCATCCTTAGGGACTGTCTCTGGAACTTTTGGGAATTCTTTGGGAAAAAGCATTTTAAAGAACTGGTGTCTTCGTGCTTTTTGTTTCCTCTGTGAGTTTGTAGTTAGTATTTATGGAGGTGTGACAGTGTAAAAATTATCTTCCAAGTCCACTCTAACTTCTGTTCAGGGCTCTAACTTTATCTAAACCCACAGAAGGCTGTCAGTAAGCCATATGGGCAGTAATAAATCGAAAAACATTAACAATCTTGTTTGAAGTCGTGGTATCCCACTGATCATGAGAACCAATTTTTAGAATGCTGCAATAGAAAAAGTGGTTGATGAGGCACATCAAAGCCTCTAAGTTTGATGGCCATGTGTTGATACACAGTGATTAATTATAGTATCCATATCCCACAGCTGGAATGAGTTGGAGATACAGCATAATTTAATCAAAATTTACTGCACAAATAAAATAGTTGCAGGACTTGTTGAAGTGATTATCTTTAATCATTCTTGTTGTAACAATGAAGTGTGTGGATTGCAATGTTAAGGTAAGGAGGCAAAGTTGACAGTTAACAGAAAGCTTTTAAATGCTATCCAAACAAATGCAACTTGAGCGGGGACAAACAAGAGCTTGTGAAAGGTAGGACACAACAGGTACATTCACAGAAAGCCTGACAAAGAGGGCAGGACTATTTATAGACTGGGGGCTAATTGAAAACTAGAAAAAAGAAGCACATTCTGAGATGCATTCCAAACCTAATAACTAACGCAGTCCACTATACAGCACACTTAATTATTGTTGAGTGATGACTGAAAGGCTTGTTGAGAAATGATAGGTATGTGTGGGTGCGAAATGCTGGGTGCTTTTAATTAAAAAAATGAAAGGACTTAAGTTTGTGTGAGCCAAACAACTTTAACAAGAGCACGGCAGCACAACAAGCATCAACTTCGTACATCTACTTTTCAAAACAGAGAACTGCCAGCCTTCTACAGCTGAGGTTAATAAAAGCCCCATTTACTTTTTTATGAAAACACACAAACCAGAGGCAGTGCCCCCAGGCATTAGTGTATCCTAAGTAACCATGATAATAAATATTAAATCTTGTTTAAAAATCTTTCTTATATTTATTAATACTACAATCTAGAATATGACTTTATCTGCCAGCTGTAAACACTGATTGAATCACAGACCTGAGGGGTGTACTATGAAGTGAGATTAGTGTCTTAGCTATGCTAAGCTTAAACTCAGGAGGGGGGTTGTATCATGAAAGAGGCTCCTTTCTCACCTGGCTAAGTCATAGTGGTAACTTTAACATTTCATTTACAGCATGTTTTACATTAAGTGCATTATAGATTCTCTGATGGGCAAATCTGTTTTATATGTGGAAGTTGTTAAGCCACACCTTACTAAAACCACCACCAAATGAAGTGCACATCACATTATCACAGGAAGGTGCATACATTAATTTAGTGATGCCAAAAATGTATAAATGCCATTATAACTGATCCTAATCTGCTGCGAAGTCTATTTTACACTGCTGGAATTGCAGCTACTAGAAGACAGAATGCACACCAATATTACCTGTTCAGTGAATGAAAGTAATTTCACTTTGATCTGTTGACAAATTTCCATGTCTCCGTTATTGGGCTATGGGACAGTAACCTTTAATGTTCAAACGTATCCAGTTTAAAGTTTCAGAAGTCTGATGTGCAGCCAACACCGTAGAAACAGACAGCAGTGCTGAGAGCGCACTCAGCAATAAAATGATTAACTCGCATTGAAATTGTTTATTTTACTGCTCTGTGCGCTAAAGCGCCAGATTAATGATTTTCTGAAGCATTAGTCTCGTCTCTTATTTGCGACAGTTACATTTTACTTTTAGATTTTTTTTATGGGCTTTATAGATTTTTATCATCATCATCTGATAATGTCTCTGCTTGGAATAAGCAGCACTCACTGAGATTATTTTGTGTGGAAGAAATGTCATGTGACCCACCAATGGCCCATTTTTATGTGAGTGTGCACAGAGCCAGAAGCACGAAGCTCTGCTTGACAGAGAAAGTTAATAACCATGACTGTGATACAAGTCAATGGGGTTTTAAAATTTTGTGAAATCCTTCCTCTACAAAACTAGTATTAGTACACCTCTCTGGTCTGACTTTAGTTGACTGGACTCTCATAATCAACTTGAGAGTGTCTCCACTTTACAATGACACTTAAATGCATGGAGTAAACTAGATCATTAACTTGTCTCAGTGTTAATTTTTCAACAATACACGTGTAATGCTATTAACCAACAGTTTAAATGCAAAAC